TGTTACGAAAAGAAAAAAGAGAGAGAGAGAGAGAGAGAGACGAGATAATGGCTCGCCATTCAAAGGAGAGGAGAGAGAGAGAGAGAGAGAGAGAAAGAGAGAGAGAAAGCGTAGTGTTTCTTTTTAGTAAACCGACGAGAGTCCAATGAGAGTGCCGTGTAATCAGTACGTCTGTATCTCCTTTCAGCGAGACCAACTTTCCTGAATCTGAACCTGAATCTCAACTCATTGACACGTCTGCAACAATCCACCTCTGCCAAGTGTAGGTGACACTCGCTGTTTGGACGCTCTTTCGAACTTATCACAGAGAGAGAGAAAGAGAGAGAGAGATAGAGAGGGAGACTGTTTATGCAATTTAATCGAATTATTCGAAATATTCGATTCGAATGAACGACTTTCAGTTATTCGATCCAATTAGGAGAAAATTGTTTGTTTTATACAAACCGATGGAAATGTAAATCCACTTTGAATCTTCGTTATTTAAACTGAAAATGGGAATGGAAGTTTTTTTTATTGGTGGAGGTTTCTTGGGATAGAAATCGTTGAATATTTAAACAATAGGTTCAATATATGATGTATGAAGGTTTTTGACACGTTGAATGCCGCACAATTTCATAGAGCAAAATACAGAAAATGGAAAGAATATAATATTAAATCATTTGATTGAATTGCATTATTATTGCACATTCATATAATTGTGTATCACCGCATTAGGTAGCATTATTTATAATATAGAAATATTTCTAAATAATCGTCGTTTAATTGAGTAAATTACAGTAATTCAGTTTGATTGAGGGTCACCGGTGACCCCCATGGCATACAACGTGTTAATATTAATTGATTTGATTTCAAGCTTCTACCTTGTGATAATTATCACGAGATACATCATGAAAGAAGAAGTTAGTCTTGACTATTATCAGTTTAGTGACATTAACAGTAAATACTGAAAAAAATACCAATTAAATTATTTAATCCTCGTTTATGAACATGTTATCAATAGTATTAACAAGATTATTATCAGCGAAGGAAAATCACCAGACCAACAAATTGATTGACAACTGATTTCTGCAAAGTTCGAAAGAGCCCATTCGATCATTCTTGTAGTGATTAGTAGAATCTTCGGTTTCCTTACTCCTTAGTTCGACCGTTTTACGTAGTGTATAGGAATAGACACTGTTCTCGAACCGTAATATACATATTCTTCGTAACTGTTCTTTTCGTTTTTGTTACCGAGACACCGTAGTTGTTACTGTCGTACCTATATCTATATATATATATTTTTTATTTTTATTTGTTTTTTCTTCTGTCTGTATTAGTGTTGTGAAAATGAGTCTTGAGCCTCGAGCCTTAGAAGCTGCATAAGCTCAAGTCTTCAACACTTGAGTCTTTATTTTGGAAGACATAATTCTTTTGATTCTTTAAGTATAAAAACTTGAATGTTAAAGGTTCCTAAGGCTCAGATCGAACTTTCAAAGCTTCAATGTTAAATCCTGAAACTTTAAAGACTTAGACTTTAAGGTTGAGTATTGAAGCTTCAAAGACTTTAACTTTACAGATATCTCAAGATTTAAAAACTCTGAGTGTTCAATATTGAAGCTTTATAGTATTCTAAACAAGTAATGCTCAGCCTTTAACGCTGAGCTTTGAAGCTTCCAGAACTCGGGCTTTCTAGATATCTCAACTTTTATAGAACTCTAAACGTTCAATGTTCGAGCTTTATAATGTCGAAGTCTTCAAGGCTCAGCCTTTAACGTTAAGCCCTGAACTTTCGAGAACTCGAGGATCATAAAAATCTGAGCCTTCAAGACTCAGCTTTCAAAGTTGAGCATTCAAACTTCGAGGGTTTGAGCTTCATAGAACTCTAAGCTCTCAAGACTCGGTCCTTAAAGTTAAGAACTGAACCTTCGAGGACTCGAGCTTTATAAAATTCTAAGCTTTCAAGACCCAACCTTTAAGGTTGAACATTGAAGCTTCGAGGACTCGAACTTTATGAAGCTCTGAGCTCTCAAGACTCAGTTCTTAAAGTTGAGAATTGAACCTTCGAGGACTCGAGCTTTATAAATCTCAGAGCTTTCAAGACTCAGCTTTCAAGGTTGAGCCTTAAAGCCTCAAGGACTCCAGCTTTTTACAACACTAGTCGATATTAACTGGAACCGCAGCCAACACTGCGCGAAAAGCGCAGCGCGTAGCTCCGTATGTGTTCGATGTTCTATCGCTTTACAATTTTATTGGTACCCCTATTCGGCTCTGTTTTATGTTTTTACTTGAGGCTGCCTTATATTCCACGTATGCGCTTCCTCTTCTGAACCCTGACACTATATATTGCAAACACTGGCTCGCATACTAAATAAAACGATACCTTAATATACACTGAACCTTAATAGACACTGATTCTAACCATTGTGGAAGTATCGTTGGCATATTCAGTCGACGAGTGTCTGGGGAAAAAAGGGATCGCTGGAACACGTGAGCGAAGATACCTTCGATTAATGTACAGGGTGTCCTGTGGCCGGTGCTGAAGTCATGGAAATGATATTATATGAAACAAGGAATTGAAAGTGTGGAAACAAGTTTTTTCGTGCGAGCTTCCGTTTTCGAGAAAATTATGTTTGAAGGTTAGAGTAGTCGCTGATTAAAGCTTGCTGTTTCTACTTGAAAGAAACATTGACGATGGTATAATGATACTTACTTTTTTATTAGCATTTTTAACTTCGTAAATAAAAGTTCGGATTAAATTAGTGTAGGATAAATGTGGTTTTATATTACTAACAAGGTTTCTAAATATTCGTGCAAGTAGAAACTGTTAACAATGGTCAGGCATTCATGATACGTATTGTGCTCGAGTACATGTGAACACATATTATTTGAAAAGTAATATTTTGGATAGATTATTGGTACTATTTTAATAATCAGCTTTAGATAAGTGATTATATATATTCCTATTATATTGTTACACTGTAAAATATACCAAAAAGAATAAATTATAAATTATTTGAGTAATTATTTCAAACATAATAAATGTATTTAAGAATATAGTTTTTGTTAAAATAATTTTGTAAAAATTTAATTAACAAGTATAATCAAATTCTTTCTGATTAAGAATTCAATAAACGATTCGCTTAATATAATAAGTGAACTGATGCTTTGAATAACAATCTCAGCACAATTTTCTCGGCAACGGTGCTCCAAACGAACAAACATGATTTCAACTAATCAATTCATTTTTCCATATAAAATCACCTGAGTCTCAATTAGAGCATTCAAGTTATAGAAAAAAAAAGACAGTCGGATACGTGGAATATATTCTTCTCCGTTTTTGTTTTTAGGAACAGCATGGGTCCTCCTTTGTCCGATATTTTGTAATCACGAATCTGTATCAGAACCGACCTGGCACCTTTAGTGTTCTCAGCTCATCGACCCGGTTATGTAGAATGTATGTCGAAAGCCAGCGCAGAGAAGCAACAATCATGATTAATTTAACAAAATGTTTTTTTCTCAAAACGAAAGGAAATAACAAATTGGTTGGAGGGGAAGAAATTAATCGAAAAATTGGAAATGACAAGAGTTGTCTGAAATGTGGCCAGATCGGCCCTGATATTCAAAAGCAATCACACCGTGGACTAACATTTGCAGCCTCGGGCGCTTCGTTAATTGTGCCTTGTTTATTTTAGCATCACCGAACATGGGGGGTAATAAACTGGGTCGAAGGATGACCACCTTGCACGAGGAAACGTCGAATGTTGGTAATCAGCTACCATCGCCAATCCACGACGAAGATGAAGAGAAGAGCGACGCTGATTACTCCGAGTACGATTCCTATCAGGTAGTACGCGTTCTTCAGACTAAATTGTCCTTGTGAACACTGAACGGTGAACACTCTGAAGGAAAGTACCTGAGCACTTAAAGATTTCAATTCTTTAAATGTAGGAGAATTAAAGTTATATAAGAACATTAATTACGATATATTTTAAAAATTGAGGATAAAATTAAGTAACATAATATTTTTTAAAGGATTAAGTTAAAGGTTTATTATATTATATATTGTAGTAATTATTTTGAAACAACGGGATTGAATTTTAAATAATTAAAGGTTGCAATAGAAGTAAAAATGAAACTTATCTCAGGTACTTTCCTTAGCACTGGAATTACTTAATATTTCAAATATTTCTTACGAAAGTGATAAGAATTTATTCGTTTAAGCTTCAACGACTAATTTGTTCAATTGTGCATTAATTATTGGAAGTTTTAATAACCATGAAGTATCAAAGTAACGAAGCTAAAATAAATCATTTCAAATCACACGATTTCAACTATTAATTTTTTCAATTACGCACCAATTACTGAAAACGTCAATATCCATAAAACATCGAAATAACGAAGCTAAAATAAATGATTTCAAACCGTACGGTAATTCCAATGCTAAAGTGTTTTCGCACGAATAACAATTGCCGAATACCTAAAGACGAATCCACACACAGCGAACTATCCCTATGGCATTTCACCAAACATAGCAAACGAATTTCGAATATCTCACACGACATCTATCTACCAGATAGATTCTCTATTACTAAAACTCCCATGTTCGATAAATCGGATCGCAACCCGTTGATCAAACAATACTGAAGAGCATATCACACACGATTACGTTCAGGCAACGGCGAAACCAGTAAAACCACTAACTTCTTCACGCACACTGGATTCTCTCGCCGAACTTCAATCGACGAAGATCAACACGCCAAGCATGAGCAGCAGTGGTTACGGTTCCCAAGCCGTGTCTACGACCAATCTGACCTCCGAGGACTCGTTGTCGGTGAAGTCGATCAGCGTGGACGAGACGCCGGACCTCGAGTATCGGAATCTATTGGACGCGAAGAAGCCGGACCGTATGGACAGCTCTTTGGTCGAGGAAACGCCGGAAGAGTACATGGGCGAGGTGACCAATACGTTGGACAAATTGAACGTGATGGGGAACAGCTGCACGGAGGGTGAGTTAGATCATTGGACAATAGTGGTTTCTAATTTTTGCGTCACTACGTCCCTCTTTAACACATTCGGTAGCCGCGTCATATATTTGTGACGGCCGTAATCCTATATTTTACATAATGAAAATGAAATTGATCTTATAGATATTGTTATTAGAAATGATAAACTACGGCATTATATTTCGGAACTCAATGACTCGTTTCATTTTTATTTTTCTAATATTTTGTTTTGTTCTTGGTTTCTTACTTTGAGCTAATTAATAGCAATTACAGCTTAACATGTTCGCTACCAACGCTTATTTCGGCGAGTCTCCTCAATTATAATATACCTTTAATCCAATAAAACCTCTAAACAAAATATTAGAAACATGAAACTAAAACGAGTCATTCAGTTCCTAAATATAAAGTCGTAGTTTATAATTTCTAATAACAATATCTATAGGATTTATTTTATTTTCAATTCTGCACTAATTATTGAAAATTTCATGTAAAGTATAGGATTACTGTCGTCACAAATATGTGACGCTGGTAGCGAACGTGTTAACACATTGCGCGCCGGCCCCGCGATAATGCAGTTTTTTTAGTCTATCGTTTAATTGCTAGCCCTACATTAATGTAACGCTTTAGATATGTATAAACTGTTGTATTATAAGGTCCGAAGAATGTGAGTGTTTTGTTATATTTCAGAGCGTACCAGGAAAAATCTGGAGGAAACTGGAGCCTATGTGGACCAGGATATAGACAGTCCAGTCTCGTCGACGAAAAGTGACAGCGACGCTAATACTAATACCACGCATTCGAATAACGTTCAGAAGAAGGACACGACCAATCAGGTTCTGAGCAATCGAAGGAAAAGCGATATGGAAATCAGTCAAACGTCGAATTCCGGGGAGGAGAGTCCTTTCGAGGGTAGCTCGGTTGTTCACACGAAGCTACCACCTGGCAAGGTGACAGTTATTCCTGATAATTATTTTAACCCTTTTCACTCGGAAGTTTTACACTAAAAATAATTTATCATTTTCTGATGAGATAAAGACGATATTTTGTAAAACTAACTGGAAGAGAAAGTATACATACATTGAGGAAGCTATTTTATTTCAATATTTTTTTTAATTGAATTATACGAGGTATAATATTAAATATCAAATTTTATAGTTTTACTGTATGAAATCAGGTGAGTGAGAGTCACCTCTCGAGTGCAAAGGGTTAATACGCATGTATTGAACCATTTTGTATTATAAATACCATTCAAGAATGAAAATATCTCAAAATTTATACAGTTCTCAATTAGAATTTTAAGTTGCACAGTACTTAAGACATTAAATAAAAATATAGTTCTTAATGGATTAAACTGAAGTTGAACTAGTGACAAGAAAAAATTAGATAATTAGTTTCTTGAAGATCATTTACAATTAGACTGAAACTATAATTAGAACTTTCTTTCTTCGACTTGTTTCTACAAGATAATAAGTGATAGTTATAAAGTCATAGATGTTAACTGTAATTATGGTTTGATAATGTTCAGGTGGTGCGTCGAAGAAAAGCGTCCGCGACTACAGGAAGGCCTACCAGTTCTCAGCACAGGGCTTCATTCCCCATGATCCGTCCACATCTCTCGGAGAGCAAAGCTGCAGCGCGACTCGAACAATCGATGCAACCCAACATGCCCTACGAAAACGGTGACAACAGCTCCTCTGAGCGAATCGACGGTATACATTGTACTTTTAACAAAATTCAATGAGTATACAATATACAATTGTATGCTGTAAATATGATTATAACAACTATGGGTCGTAGATCAGTTCCAAGTAAAATTAGAAACATTAGATATAAAAAAAATTGAAAGACTCAAATATTCGAAGGTTCAAATATTCGAATATTCAAACATTCAAACATTCAAACATTCAAACATTCAGAGATTCAAAGATTCAAAGATTCAAAGATTCAGATATTCAGAGATTCAGAGATTCAGAGATTCAGAGATTCAGAGATTCAGAGATTCAGAGATTCAAAGATTTAAAGATTCGGAGATTCAAAGATTCAAAGATTCGGAGGTTCGGAGATTTAAAGACTCAAAGATTCAAAAGTTAGGAAATCAAGAATATAATATTTGCGATATAGATTCCTAAATTATATTGCATATTCTGTCAGCAGATGACGCAAGTGATAAAAGTTCAGCTTTCGGTTCGAGACACGACTTCAGCAGAGTGGAAACACCACTCCCAGAGTGGGTGGTGGTTGGTGAATCGGTGTTGGTTCGCCCACACCATTACCCCGGCGTCATAGCGTATGTGGGCCCGACAGAGTTTGCTGCTGGGTCTTGGATAGGTGTCGAGCTGGACGCCCCGACTGGTAAGACTACTATTTCATCAATTATGAACATATCAATTGAAACAATCAATTTACTTTTCTTCATTAGTTCTTATCCTGTTCATCTTAATATCTTAATTCTAAAGAATAACGTGGTAGTCCATGATAAAAACTTATTATTATGCATTCCAGTAGTTCTTGAATTTGTTTACATACTAACAGGAAAGGTTCAGGATTATTAATAAATGGGAATATCTTTTCGTGTTGCAGGTAAAAACGATGGTGCTGTGAACGGCCATAGGTACTTCACGTGTCGACCGAAGTGCGGAATTTTCGTCAAAGTGGACAAACTAATTCAAGACAAACGAGGCAGAGCACTTAGGAACTTCACTTTCACCCCTCCTCAGTCTGCACCGATGCGCAGAAGCGTTAGCAGAGGTAAAAACATCAATATAATAATAAATAAATTTTCATGTTAAAAAATCAAACAAATTCTTAATCTATATAAATATACTTATTAATCATGGTCTCTATCACATTCAGAAAAAAAGCTTAAATATTGAAAATTTTAAATATCATGATTCGTTATTTTCCCAATAATTTGTTTACAATTAGAACACACAAAATGCTGATTGATGGTCTATATTAAACAATTTCAAATCGTCATAAAAATTTAATATTTTCTTCGAGGTTCATACCTTCTAAAAATACAAAAAGCAATTATTTGACCCTCCAAGAAATGAATCCAGATCACATTATTCTACAAGTCACCTGTCAGAAACATCACTTCCAGTGATCTTAATCGCAAGCAACTCGATAATTTCCAGGCGAGGGTTTACATTCCTTGCACCGAACTCGGAGCCGGGGCGAAGGTCTCTCAACAACAGGCACACGGTCCTCACCACGGGGCAAGTAAAAAACAAACAAACAAACAAAAAGCAAAAAACAAAAGAAAAGAAAAATAAAAAAA